CGGGGCTCGATCCCAGGACCCTGAGACCATGACCTGAGCCAAAGGCAGAGACCTTAACCCACTGAGCCACCCAGGTGCCCCTCTGTGCAGTGATTTTATATCCTGCCACTTTGCTGAATTCCTGTATGAGTTCTAGCAGTTTTGGAGTGGAGTCTTTTGGGTTTTCCACATGGAGTATTATGTCATAGTGACATAATTGTCCCAGGAAAGAGTGAGAGTTTGTCTTCTTCTTTACTGATTCGGATGCCTTTTATTTCTTTTGTTGATCACTGAGGCTAGGACTTCTAGTACTATGTTGAACAACAGTGGTGTTGGTAAACATCCCTGTTTTGTTCCTGACCTTAGGGGAAAAGCTCTTAGTTTTTCCTCATTGAGAATGGGCTGTGGGCTTTTTGTATATAGTTTTTATGATATTGAGATATGTTCCCTCTATCCCTACACTGTGAAGAATTTTAATCAAGAAAAGATGCTGTACTTTGTCAAGTGCTTTTTCAGCATCAACTGAGAGTACCGTATGGTTCTTGTTCTTTTATTAATGTATTGTATCACATTGATTTCCACATGTTGCATCAACCTTGCAGCCCAGGAATAAATCCCACTTGGTCGTGGTGAATAATCCTTTTTTTTTTTCTTTAAACTTATTTGACAGACAGAAATCACAAGTAGGCAGAGAGGCAGGCAGAGAAAGAGGAGGAAGCAGTCTCCCCGCTGAGCAGAGAGTCCGATGCGGGGCTCGATCCCAAGACCCTGGGATCATGACCTGAGCCGAAGGCAGAGGCTTTAACCCACTGAGTCACCCAGGTGCCCCGGTGAATAATCCTTTTAATGTACTGTTGGGTCCTATTGACTAGTATCTTGTGAGAATTTTCGCATCTGTGTTCATCAAGGATACTGGTCTGTAATTCTCCTTTTTGGTGGGGTCTTTGTCTGTCTTTGGGGTAAAGATAATGCTGGCCTCATAGAAGGGGTTGGAAGTTTTCCTTCCATTTCTATTTTTTGAAACAGCTTCAGAAGAGAAGGTATCAATTCTTCTTTTAAATGTTTGGTAGAATTCCCCTGGGAAGCTCTCTGGCTCTGGGCTCTTGTTCATTGGGAGGTGTTTGTTTTTTTTTTTTAATATTTTATTTATTTGACAGATGGAGATTACAAGTAGGCAGAGAAGCAGGCAGAGAGAGAGGAGGAAGCAGGCTCCCTGCTGAGCAGAGAGCCCGATGCGGGGCTCGATTCCAGGACCCTGAGACCATGACCTGAGCCAAAGGCAGAGGCTTTAACCCACTGAGCCACCCAGGAGCTCCTGTTGGGAGGTTTTTGATGACTGCTTCAATTTCCTGCTGGTTATAGGTCTGTTCAGGTTTTCTATGTCTTCCTATTTCAGTTTTGGTAGCTTATACATTCCTAGGAATGCATCTGTTTCTTCCAGATTGCCTATATATTGTTGGCATATAGTTGCTCATAATATGTTCTTGTAACTGTATTTCGTTGGTTTTGGTTGTGATGTCTCTTGTATCATTCATGATTTTACTTATTTGGGTCCTTTCTCTTTTCTTTTGGTAAGTCTGGCCAGGGGGTTTTCAATCTTATTAATTGTACTGCCTCTTCTCTTTTTTGCGGTGAGTTTTTCCATCCTGTCATTCTCCTACCTTGCAGAAAGTGGTCACTTTTCTATTTGTAGAAATATAGCATTCTTTTCTTAGATCTCCGGGTGAGTTCACAGGTGTTCAGAATGATTTGATAGCTATCTCTGAACTCCTGGGACAAAAGTAAGGTCTCCTACTCCTCTGACATCTTGGAAAATCTTCCTTTCTTAATGTCATAAGTGATTTAAGGAGATATAAATGAAAAGATCAAGGTGTCATTTGTCATTTATAAAATTTGAGAAATTACTTTATGTTAATATTTAATTATAGTGTTTGTATTATAATATGGTCATGCTCATAACAGCAGTGTAAACATTTATAAACCTTCTGGAAAGCATCTTGCAAATTATGCAAAAGACGTTTTAAGTATTCACATTTATCGACCTGAAATCCACCCATGAGGTGTGTATTCTGAGGAAACCAGGGGAGGTGCAGGCATCTGGAGGACACAGAGGCACCACGTGAACAAAGGACTTTGCAAGCTGAGGAAGCAAACTCAGCGAGTATATGTAGCAGAAAATTCCAGGGAAACAGGAGAGCAAGTGCGAAGGACCCCGGACTGGAGTGTGCCAGGTGTGTTTGGAGAAGAGCACAGAAGCCAGTGTGCCTGAGCAAGGGGCAGAGTGTTAGGAAATGAGACCAGAAAGTTAGAGGAGCTGGGTCAGGGAGGGCCCTGAAGGCCACAGTAAGGACTTTGGACTTTGAGTAAGGAAGGCAGGAGCTGGGGGGTCCTGACCAGAGGCCGTGATCTAAGTTCTAAAAGGATCAGGGGCTACTCTTTGGAACAGAGTCTATGAAAGGTCAAGGACAGAAGAGGCCCGGGTCAGTTAGGATGCTACCGCAATATCCAGCCAAGACAGCGGGGTGGCCTGGACTTGTGAGATTCTCTTTTGATGGCAGAGCTGGTGGATGGGATGTGGGATAAGAGGTGAAGACAGGAGTCAGGAGACTCCATGGGTTTGAGCTGAGCAATAGGGTGGATGACAATCCTAATTACTGGATGGAACAAAACTGGGGGAGAAGTCGGTTTTGGGGAGAAAGAATCCGGGGATTGACTCTGACAGTGAGCTGTCCACGCTGGGGGTCGCCTGAGCTTATTGTAAGGCAGACTGTACTCATGCGCCTATTCCCCGCAGCCCTTTCTCTCCTCCTTTGACGTTTCTTCCAGAAGACCAGATCTCTGGTCGGCAGCTTCCAGCAGGGACTTCCAGACAAAAAGGAAAGGAGCAGAGAAACTGTATGTTGATGACAAGGCACTTTAACTTGTTACAGCAGCGAATGTTATCAGAATGGAGGAGAGTGGAATCTCTGTTGGGGTGAGGTACATAAGTGATGGGTCCCCATAATTATTCTGTGAAGACTCACTGGTAATTAACCCGAGGAGACAAAATGAATTAGTGAAAAGTGAAAACACCGACCAATCTGTTACATAAAGTGTGTGCCAAATTAGCTGCCAGCTGACATACACGTGACATAGGTGACCGAGGAACAAGGGCACCTGAGTGGCTCAGTCAGTTAAACGTCTGCCTTCAGCTCAGGTCATGGTTCCAGAGTCGGGCTTCCTGTTTCTCCCTCTCCCTGACTTGTGCTCTCTCTCTTTCAAATAAATAAGTAAAATCTTTAAAAAATTAATATAAAATAAAAATAAAACCAAGGAATAAAATGTTCTCAGAAGCCAATTGGTTGACAGTCTGGGCTGGGCTTTGTACTAGAATTTGAATGTACTTTTACCCACTCTGCAAGAGTATCAAAATTACTGAGAAACATATTCATATTGGTAAACTTTTATCTATATAAACACGAGATTAAATCCTTTTTTAAACTTATGAGCTTACCCCACAACGTGGGCCCAATATATAGGGCAGCTCTCACCATACTGTTGAGCACAGAAGAAAATTTGGAGCATGTTTATCGTATCTCTACATTAACAACCTTCCAGTCTTGACTGTGCCATGTCACAGGTCATGAGGGGGCAGAGGAAGCCTTTGGTGTCACCTTGCAGTCAAAAAGACACAAGGTCAAATTTATTTTTCTGAAGTTGGGCCCCAGCATCAGAGAATAACAACATCAAGGAGAATTGTTGCTATGTGAGAGTACAGGTGTCGTATTATTTTTTTTTTTAAGATTTTGTTTATTTGACAGAGATCACAAGTAGGCAGAGAGGCAGGCGGTGCGTGGGGGGAGCAGGCTCCCTGCTGAGCAGAGAGCCCGATTTGGGGTTTGATCCCAGGACCCTGGGATCATGACCTGAGCCAAAGGCAGAGGATTAACCCACTGAGCCACCCAGGCGCCCCGGAATTACTTTTTGAAGAAGAATACAATCACTGTTGGAATTAAAGTGACATTTTAAATGGCCATTCAACACACAGGAACTCTGAAAATATGTGCAGAAGACTCCCACTTGATTGGTGGCAGTTCTGAGGCTAATTGGTGGCGCTGGGTCACAGAGCTATGCCCTCGCTGCAGGAGAGGCTTTGAATGTGAGTTTCTGGCAGTTTTAGCTCCGGTTGGGATGGGGAACGGTCTTTGCCCTTCATGAAGAGGCGCAGTGCAGGGTGCCCTCTGTGCACAGAGGGGTTCAGATGCTCCACAGCTAAAACAAATGACAAATGTCGGCTGCACGTAACAGAAAACTCAGTTATCTTCTCACATAATAAGCAGATCAGAGGGAGCCTAGCTCAGGTCTGGGCAGTGACTCAACAATGTCAACGCCGTTCTGTGTAGCATGTCGTCATGCTGCCTAATGGGTCCAAGACGATAACTTCAGCCAGCACATCCAGCCTCAACACCAGAAGAAAGGGACTGAGCAAAGCTTTTCTAGAAATCCTCAGCAGACATTCACTTAGATCTCCTTGACCAGAATTGTGTCATGAAGCCAACTCTGGAAATGAGGGAAGCTGGGAAATTATTTAGCTGCCCCTCCCCCTCAAAAGTGGAATTTTGTAATAACAGAAAGGAAGAAAATGGAGATAGGATGTACGATGGGCACCGTCTGCTCCGATTAGCCTCGAGCCTGAGAGGATGATCAGAATCACCCACCTTCTCCCCACACGTTTCTCTATTCTCATGTCATCTCAAAGCCAACCTCACAGGGGCAGGAGCTCTCAGTCCCTGGCACAAGCATGGGGCAGGGGTGGGAGGTGGGTTTGCTGTGAGCGGTGCCCGTCACAGGCCACAGACGGTTCTGCTGGGAGGCCGCTGCCCTCCATCCTTCTCAACCTCTGTGATGTCACACTGGGACTTCTTTCCTTCCACCCTGGGCTGTGGCTTCCGAGGCTGCTGTGGCCATGGGGCTCCTGGAGCCAGCAGGGGCGAGGGAGCCTAGTGGCTCTGATCTCCCCTGCCGGCGCGGGAGGTCCAGACATGCCGCTCTTGAAGGACGCAATGCCTCTCATGAAGGAGCCCCATCCCCCGCCTCAGGCTCCTCTTCCATGGATCCTCCCCAGCCTGTTTGCCGCCTTCAATGTCGTGCTGCTGGTGGTTTTCAGTGGCCTCTTCTTCGCATTCCCGTGAGTCTCCCTCCCACACAAGCTGCAGGTTTCCTACAGAGACAGAAAGTAACACAGATAATGACAGTGCAGAGGCAGCAGAAGTGCCCAAGAGGGGTGAGAGGAGGCAGGATAGTCCGGGCCCAGGGAACCGAATATGCAAACACACAGGCAGTGCAGTGCTTGGTGCCTCTGGGAGCTGCAGGTTGCTCGCAACACTGGGTGACATTTTGTGGAGTCACTAAGGATCTGTCATGAGCCAGGAGATTTATTTATTTATTTATTTATTTTTAAGATTTTATTTATTTATTTGTCAGAGAGAGAGGAGCGAGAGTGAGCACAGGCAGACAGAGTGGCAGGCAGAGGCAGAGGGAGAAGCAGGCTCCCCGCCACGCAAGGAGCCCGACACGGGACTCGATCCCAGGACGCTGGGATCATGACCTGAGCTGAAGGCAGCTGCTTAACCAACTGAGCCACCCAGGCGTCCCGAGCCAGGAGATTTAGAGTGGGGTTCAAGGTGTGTGGGTTCTGACCAAGTGGACAGGATCGGTGGGTCTTGGGGGGTGCTTCGGGCCACTGCGGATCAGGGCCAAGCCCTGCTCTGGTTTCAGTTGCAGATGGCTGGCCCAGAACGGGGAGTGGGCCTTTCCCCTCGTCACAGGCCTCCTCTGTGTCCTCACCATCTTCAGTCTGGTTTCGCTCAATTTCTCAGACCCCGGCATCTTGCATCAAGGTGAGACGTTGGCCCCTGGGAGAAGGAGGCAGCCCCTCCTGAAGGGCCCCTCCCATCTCCCCTCTTCAGGCCTCAGGACCTTTTCACCGTACCTCCTCATTTGCCCCTCAAGTGCCTCTGGCACTTCATTGTTACAGCCACGGAGACATGGATAAACAAATTTCTGGAGGTTTTCCAGCCACCTTGTGTAGGAGGGCCCAGGCAGGCCAGGAAGAGAAGCCAGCTCTTTGAAATGACTCAGTTCTCCCTCCATTAAAGCATCAATCACAGTTTCAAAGGGCTGAGTCCTCACAGAACACTTCTGGCTGGAAACCTGCCTTGCCTTTGAATGCCCGGCTCTCTGTGCTTGGGCGGCCTGCTCAATGGAGACGAGGGATACCCTCACCCACCTCTTCCCCACATTTCCTGGAGCCCAGTAATGACCTGGGGCTGGCCTCCCTACCCCCCAGAGCAGCAGACTGACGGAAGGGCCTCCTGCTGCTGCCCAATCCTCTTTCCATGCCAGGCTCCAACGAACAGGGTCCCATGATGGTGCAGGTGGTGTGGGTGAACCACAGGGCCTTCCGCCTGCAGTGGTGCCAAAAGTGCTGCTTCCACCGCCCGCCCCGGACCTACCACTGTCCTTGGTGCAACATCTGTGTAGAAGTGAGTGCCTCTCCTGACTCGCCCACCCCCACCCGCCCTGCTCCCTCCCACGGGGGCCAGTGGAAAGCCTGAAACCACTTCTGGCACTGCTAAAGGCCAAGAGGGGCAGTAACGCCCAACCACTTTGGGTCACTCATGCAGGTCACTTCCTCTGCACATGCACCTGCCCAGGGAGGCTGGCCTTTGCCTGTGCAGGTGCAGACACCTGCAGACGCATCTACACCTGTGCTGGGCCTGGTCAGGCCAGGGGGAAAAAGACACTACTGTCTTACCCCAGGCTTGCTGACTCTAGCTGCCCAAGGCCGTCAGGCTAGCTGGAGGCCTGGCCGGGAAAGCTTCGCCTGTCCTCTTCTTGTCTGGGTCTCCTGGGCTCTGAGCACTTGTCTGTGTCACGTGCACAGCTGCAAAGGTTTATAAAGGTGCTGTTTTGTCTGGTCCTCACAACCCTGGGAAGTGGGCTGAGCAAGGGTATTACTATCCTCAGTGGATGTAGGAAACAGAAGCCCAGAGATATTCTATGTCCAGCCCACAGTTACACCAGGATGTGTTCCCAGACCAGGCAGGCCTTGTCTTAAAGGCCTTTTTGATGCGTGATCTTGTGAGCCACAGAGACCTAACAGAGCGCTGACAAAAATGCTAGCGCTAGGGACTTTGTGGCTGGGGTTCTCCCTAGGGATGAGACCCAGTTTGGTTTGAGGGGCCACGGGCAGGTGGCCTTTGGGAACGGGAGTTGGGGGGTGGGTAAAGCCTCAGATTTGTGGGCGATGGAGACTGGTCCAGAGGTCCAGTCCTCGAGGTCTGCTCCCCTCCCTCTTACCCAGGACTTTGACCACCACTGCAAATGGGTCAATAACTGCATTGGTCACCGCAACTTCCGCTTCTTCATGCTGCTGGTCCTGTCCTTATTTCTCTACTCGGGTGCCATGCTGGTGACCTGCCTGATCTTCCTGGTGCGCACGACCCACCTGCCCTTCTCCATGGACAAAGCCATCGCGTATCCTCCCGGGGTACCCAAGTAGAGAACAGTGGGGGGTGCAGGGGTTGGCCGGGGGCGGGGTCACGGGGGCAGAGCTACTGGCGCAGGGAGAACCCACTGAGATAGGCGGGGGTGGGCAGGGCCAGGGAGATGGGCGGGGCTAGGAGGGACTGCGGAGAGTCGAGAATCTACAGCAGGGTCGTGGTGGGAAGTGCTAACGGTGTCACGGGGCCTAGACAGCGGACTGGGTTGAGGTGTCCGGGGGCACCCAGCGTTGGGAGCGGGCGGGGCTGTTGGGGCGGAGTTGGGGCGGGGGCGGGGCCAGGGAGGAGAGTCCCCGGCGCTGCTCCTTAGCGGGTGCGCAGCATCTTGGTGGCTGTACCCGCCGTCGGCTTCCTGGTGCCGCTCTTCCTGCTGCTGCTGATCCAGGCCAAGTCGGTGAGCGCGGCCGAGCGCTCCCACGAGGGCAAGGTACGCGAGGCCGAGCGGGGCGCAGGGTTGTGGGTGGTCAACTTGTGCCTCGGGACCTCTGCCCCTAACGCTCCTTGTCCACCTCCCTGTCCCTGACCGGTTGACCTCCCTCGAAGGTGCCTCAGTTGCCCTTCTAGACCTAGATGCACCTCCATCCTCCGCTGCTCGGGGGTCACCCTCCCTCCTGGGTGCACTGCATCCGGGGCCTACTGAGTGCTAGGCCTCGTGGGCTTCATTTTGAGCAACGGGTGAGGAGGTGAATAAGGCTACATCCTGCGCTTCTGTGGAAAAGGACCCTGAAATCAGAGTAACACCCTCCAGACAGCGGTGAACGCCACGAGGAAGGGCCTGCCCTACGTTGAGTAACAGACTCACAGAGGGACTCAAGTTCAGTGAGGACCACCGCGCGGAGTAGGACGCAGCGTGCGGTGGTTTTGGACGTGCAGAAAACCCGGGCGGGGGTGCGGGTGGAGGCGGGTGAGAGCAGTGCAGGTGAGGGGTGCTGCCCGCAGGAAGGCAAGGAAGCCTGCAAGCCTGTGGGATGTGGATAGGATGTGGGTAGGATGGTGAGGACGCAGTGCCCGCTGGAGCAGAAGGTGCCGTGTGAAAGAAGTGTACTGCTTGGGATTGGCCAGAATTAAAAGGCTCAGAAAGTCAGGTGGAGAATGGAGTCTTGGTTCAGGGGAAGCCTGGGAGCCAAAGAAGGATTTTTTTCCCTTTTCTTAAATACAGTAAAATTCATCCGTTTCAGTGCATTTCTATGAATTTTGAAAAGCATACAGTCTGGTCCTGTAACCACCACCATGATCAAGATTTATAACGGCTCCATCACCCCCCAAAAACTCCCTCATGGTCTTTTGTAGTCAGTTTCTCTCCCTGCCCGCAGCCCCTGGCATCCACTGATCTTTCTATCCCTGTAGTTTTTCCTTTTCCAGAGATTGGTATACATGGAATCATAGCCGCTTGAGTGGGCTTCTTCCACTCGGCATTAGCGATCCATCCCTGATGCTGCCCATACCAGTAGTTTTTTTCTTTTTATCGCTGTGTCCTATTGCGTCCTATGGATAGACTACCTTTTGTTTATCTGTTCCCCTACTGAAGGATATCCCTTGCATATCTTTGATTAAATATCTGTTCCAGTCTTTTGCTCACTAAAAAAAAAAAATTGGTTTTTTTTGAAATTATTGAGTTCTACAAATTCTTGATATACTCGGGATTCAGATAAGTGTTTTGCAAATATTTTCTCCCAGTCTGTGGCTTGTCATCTCAATTTTTAAACGGTGTCTTCCAAAGATCAGAAGTTTTACATTTGGATGAAGTGCACTGTAGGTTTTTTTCTTTTATAAACGGTGCTTTTGGTGTTGTAATTAAGAAAGCTTTGACTAGGAGGGCCTGGGTGGCTCAGTTGTTAAGTGTCTGCCTTCTGCTCAGGCCATGATCCCAGGGTCATGGGCTCCTTGCTTGGCAGGGAAACCTGCTTCTCCCTCTCCCACTCCCCCTGCTTGTGTTCCCTCTCCGGTTGTCTCTCTCGCTCTGTCAAATAAATATGTCAAATATTTATGTCAAATAAAATCTTTTTTAAAAAAGAAAGAAAGAAAGCCTTGCCTAACCCAGTGTCACAAAGGTTTTCCCATACTTTCTTCTGGAAGTTTTATAGTTTTTGAATTTTATATTTAGGCCTATGATTCATTTTGGGTTAAATTTTGTATGTGAGGCAAGTGTTGGGTCAAGCTTTATTACTTTTGCATAAGTGTTGTTCCTGCATCATTTGTTGAAAAGAATATCCTTCTTCCATTGAGTTACCTTTGAACATTTGTCAAAAATCAGTTGACTGAATAGTTGTGGGTGTATTTCTGGACTCCCTATTCTTTTGTCAATACCACACTGTCTTGATAATTAGGTTTGCATTATGTCTTGAAATCACACAGTGTGAGTTCTCCAGATTTGTTCTTTTTCAGAGTTCTTTTGGTTATCCTAGTTCCTTTTATTTGCCATATAACTTTTAGAATCAGCTTAATTTCCAAAAAGAAAAAAAAGAAAGATCGCTGGGATTTTTATTTGGGTTACATTGAACCTGTAAGTCAATTAGGAAAATTGATACCTTAACAATATTGAGTTTTTGAACCCAGGAACCCCTTTCCGTTTATTTACTTCTTTGATTTCTATCATCAGTGTTTAGTAGTTTTCGGTATATAGATCTTGCGTACATTGTGTTAAATCTTTTCTAACTATTCATGTGCTATCATAAATGTGTTCTAAAATTTCATTTCTATTTATTATTTTAAGAAAATACAGTAGATTTTTGTTTATTGGTCTTGAATCTTGGATTTTGCTGGATTCACTTGTCCAAATAGCTTTTTTTTGTTGATTCTACATAGAAAATCATGTCATCTATGAATAAGGACAGTTTTATTTCTTCCTGCCCAACTTGGATGGCTTTCTTTCTTTTTTCTTCTTACTGCACTGTCTTGGATTTCCAGTACAGTGTTGAGTAGGAGTGACAAAAGTGAACATCCTTGGGGTGCCTGGGTGGCTCAGTGGGTTAAAGCCTCTGCCTCTGGCTCAGGTCATGATCCCAGGATCCTGGGATCAAACCCCCCGCCTGCTTCCCCCTCTCTCTGCCCGCCTCTCTGCCTACTTGTGATCTCAGTCTGTCAAATAAATAAATAAAATCTTAAAAAAAAAAAAAGTGAACATCCTTGACGTAGGATGCCTTTAGCAGAACAATGACCTGACTAAATGTTGGGGTGTTGTGTTTTTTTTTGTTCCTTGAGTAGGCTCCACATGATATGTGGGGTTTGAAATCACGACCCTGAGACTCTGCGATCAAGAGTCACATGCTCTGGGCGCCTGGGTGGCTCAGTGGTTAAAGCCTCTGCCTTCGGCTCAGGTCATGATCTCAGGGTCCTGGGATCGAGTCCCGCATCGGGCTCTCTGCTCAGCAGGGAGCCTGCCTCCTCCTCCTGTCTCTCTCTGCCTGCCTCTCTGCCTACTTGTGATCTGTCTGTCAAATAAATAAAAAAAAAAAAATCTTAAATAAAAAAAAAAAAAAAAAAAGAGTCACATGCTCTTTCAACTGAGCCAGCCAGGCACCCTAACTGAAGGTTGTTTTAGGAAGGCTGTAGTTGGCCACATTGATGAGGGAGGGCTGGAAACAGGGAGACAGCTGAAAAGACAGAGGAACCCTGCTTGCCTCACTACCTCCCATCCCTGCAGTCAGTACTCAGTCACACAAGCCTATCCCCGTTTGGCTCCCAGCCCTCCTGTGACTCCTCTGCTCCTACCCATTAACCCTTACTTATTACCTCCTGCGGTCTGCATGCCTTCTCTCCCCAACTTCAGACCATCATTTCAGCCTTTCCAGGGCAACATTCTCCCTTCCCATGTCCCATGGTTCTTCTAGCCCCCAGTCAGCCCATCGGCCCGTCCTTGCACCACTGCTCAGACTGGGGCTCTCCCAGGCTATGATCTCCAGTCTTAAGAAATCTACATGTGGGGGCGCCTGGGTGGCTCAGTGGGTTAAAGCCTCTGCCTTCAGCTCGGGTCATGATCCCAGGGTCCTGGGATCGAGCCCCGCATCGGGCTCTCTGCTCAGCGGGGAGCCTGCTTCCTCCTCTCTCTCTGCCTGTCTCTCTGCCTGCTTGTGATCTCTGTCTGTCAAATAAATAGATAAATAAATCTTAAAAAAAAAAAAAAAAAGAAATCTACATGTGGTCTGTACTCTGTGAGTCACTGCACTCTGCAATGAATGTGATTCATTCATTCAGGGCTCTTTCCCGTTACCTCCAGAACCCATTTCAGGCATTCATTCCCTTCCTACCTCATCCCCAAACCACATCTCTCACGGCCACTTGCTTGGGGTTTGATAGCAAGAGCTCTGCAGCCAGCGTACATAAATTCAAACCACAGCTTTCTATCGGCAGGGAGATCTTGGGTCTGTCGCTTGGCCACCTGGTGCTTCAGTTTCCCCATCTGTAAAAGGGAGCAGCATGGGTTGATTTGTGTACAACACATACAATGGTGCCTGGTACAAGCAAATGCCCAATAGAGCATTGCTGTTGTTACCATTCCTTCCCATCATCATTTACACATGTTGGTGTCTCTCTGATCTTAAAACAAAGCAAACAGTCCTTAACATCACAGGCCTCCCTTCTGGCTGCTGCGCTCTCCCCTCCAGCAGAGGAGTATTTCTTGAACGAGTTGGCTCTGCTCACTTTCCCCTTCCCCAGCCCACTGCAGCCCTGCCTCTGCTCACTGTCACACTAACGTCATGCTCACCAAGTGGCCAGTGGCAGTCCTAAGACTCATCTTGTCCCACACCAGCGTGGTCCCACATGCACGCGCCATGGCCCTTGCCCAGCCTCTCAGGTCCCGGCTTTCTGCTTTCCAGGGCTGCTGCTGTTCTACCTGCCCCCTAGAGTCTTGGCACTGGCTGCCTGCTCTGCTCCCCCATCCCCTCTCTGGGCTGCCCTGACCACTCGCCAGCCACCTGAAAGTTAAGGCTGGCTTTGTTGGTGGTGGTGTGTCCTCAGTGCCCAGTGCAGTGCCTAGGGCATTGCTGAGGCCCCAGAACAGTTATGAGCAAATGAGGGAATCTGTACCCAAAGGAATTGATACTGCTTTGGGAAAGAGGGAGGGAGGGAGCGAGAGAGCGAGGAAAGCCTGATACCCTGATCCCTGGGGAAGAAGGGCAGAGAGCAGAGGCAGCAGGGAGCTGGACAGGAGATGAAGATGCCCAATTTGGTTACCATCCTGTGGAGTGGGAGAGCATTCGAGGCATGGATTTGGAGCAGGAGAACTGGGTCTGGAGCCAGTGAAAGAGGATAGTCAAGGAATTTCCGAGCTGCTGGATTTCGTTCACATCTGAGAGGCTCTTCTGGGGGAGAGGAAAGGTCTGCCCTTTGTTAGCAAGTTCTGATGAGTTCATTAGGCAATTATCTATCCCTCCTTCACGCATTGAACAAGTCAACATGTTTGTATGCCTCATATATATCTAATAAATCAAAATTTATTTCTCTAAATTTAAAATTCTAATTGTAAATGTAACCCAACTCTTCTAACCATTTAATTAAAATTGCAGATAGAATATCAGTTTCCCTTACTTGAATGCTTTAAACATAGTAAAGTAGGCAAGAACTCAAAGCATCGCGATGGTTAGTGTTGCTTTTGGCAACAGTGGGACATTGTGGAGGTGTCCGGACTTTTCCTTCCATAGGTTCACCTGTCCTGCATGGAGTCCTGGCTCCTTTTGGTGGAGAATAGTGTTGAAGGTCAATATCATCGTGACAGGGACATGGGACATAGAGGAGCTGGTGATGGGCAGAGGTGGCCCTGGGCCGCTTTTGGTCATGATGGACATTTTGTAGTGAAGGATCTTGAAGTCAGCATGAGAATCAGCTTGTGCTGGGGAAGAGGAGGAGGAGGGCAAGGCTGATGGGTAGAGGGAGGGAAGGGGAAGAACTTGGTTAAAGAGTGTCCAGGGGAGGACTTGACCTTTGCTGCTGGATGCTCAGGGTCTTTGGCCCAGACTTCCAGGGCCAAATTATCTTGTTAAGGAAATCTGATTGTGCCCCAGGCAACTGCTCTTCTAGATAGTGAAATTCAGCTAAGACACCAGTTTGGGGAAAAAAAAAAAAAAGAGAGGTGGGAAAGTAGGGAGGTGGGGGAGGGGCATGGAACTGGCTTTAGAGCAGCTTAGCAACAAAAGGAAGATCGGAAAGTATATCTGGAGGGAGGTAGCAGGGGGATGTGCAGGGGCCAAAAGAAACAGAAAAAGGGAGGATACTGCAAAAGGGGTATGGGGTGATCGGGGAGGACACCTGAGAAGGCAGAAGTGGGCGCAGTGCCGGGGGTTGCCTAGAGAAAGCTACTCAGGGGTGGGTGGGCTGGAGGAGGCCGGGGATCCCTCTCTCTGCTTCTCTGCCCTTGGAGTCTTGCTGCCGCCCTAAGCTGAGCTGATGGTTCAGGAAGGGCAGGTGGGGGGCCCTGGGGGAGTTGCCTGCCCAGTCCTGCAGGATCTGAGTTCCTCTGCTGGCCCTTGCCTCCCTCCAGTGCCGCTACCTGCAGGGATACAACCCCTTTGACCACGGCTGTGCCAGCAACTGGTATTTAACAATTTGTGCACCGCTGGGACCCAAGTGAGTTGGCAGACCAGGGGCCCGAGGGGAGGCTCCTGGGCCTGAGGTGGGGGGGGGGCAGGATAAAGCCCGGTCATCACCCCTGGCCCCTTAGCCCAGCTCCCAGGCTCTTATACTCCCTATTCTTCTTTCGGGGGTTTTTTCCCAGGGCATGGTGAGAGCCCCAGGAACCCCCAGTTCCTCGCCTTTGTGGGTTCTTCACCCAAGGAATGGAGTGGAGGGACACTACAGCCTGGCTGAGACTGATCCCAGCTCTCTGCAGGGCCAAGCCTTGGGCTGTGTGCTCCCCAGGCTGAGGGGGACTAGGCCCGGAGGGCCACAACCCCTTCCATCTGGCTTATTGCTCCCCAGGTACATGGCCAAAGCTGTCTGGCTACAGAGAATGGTGGGGTCTGACTGGGCGCCCATGCAGAACCTTCACTTCCCAATGTGCACCTCGGTGCTCAGTTCCCCAGCCACCCCAGGGCCTGTGCCTGCCCCCCAGCTCCAACCTCTGAGTCTCTACAAACCAGGGAAGGTTCCCCTAGGGAGTGGTGAGGCTCCAGCCCTCCAGGAGGTGAGGAGTGTGCTCGAGTGTGTGCATGTTGGGAGAGGGTGTCTGTGGATTTTACAGGTGTTGGGGGCAACCCCCCCCCCATATTGGGCTGGCCCTGAAGGTGGAGCACTCGGAACTTGAGGGAGGGGGATCAGAGACCTGAGCAGGGCTGGAAGTCAAGTCACAGGCCTCCAGAATACAGCAGGGACCCCTGGAGACAGGAAGGGAAGAGACCACACCCCTCACTTGCTAGTAGGCCTTGGGCCTGTCATTTACCCTTTCTGGGCGTCCGTTTCCTCAGCTCTTAGTAAGGACTGAGACTAGTCCAGTCCTTACTAAGGTTCATAAATCTGAGGGGGGATTCCTTTACTTAAAGACAACTTTTACTCCAAAGCCCAACATAGGAAACACATGGAAGCCGACCATTAGGAATGAAGTGGGGGTGGGTAAGCCCAGCTTCCTCCAGGGCTCCTGCAGTGACATTCTGGGGTGCCAGCCCACTCCCTTTGGTCTGTCTAGGGGGAGGGTGTCTGGGACTGTTTCTTTCTCCCCACCTGGTGGGTTGTGAGCTGTGGGGCAGGGGCCTGGGGAGAACCCCCATCCCTCCACTCTGTGTTTAGCTCCATCCAGGCCCAGTGCTGTCCCTGTTGCGGGACTGCCCCAGACGAGGCTCTGTCTGCCGCTCGCCCCCTCATACCCGGCGGTGCCAGGAGCCCCTGCACCTGAACCTCATCTCCTGATCCCGCATGGAGGCCTGTCTGTGCTCTGCCCTTGCCCACTCCCCTGGCGGGAGTGTTGTGAGCTCCACCAAAGCCCATTAAATACCCGTTGCCTGCCTCCTATGACGAATCTCCTGCACTGTCTGTCCTGGGGACCAGGGAGCTTGGGGGTGAGGGGGAGCTCCGAGGGGCCGGGACAAAGGCCCTGGGAGGGAGGAGCCAGGGTCCCATACTGGCTGGTTCTGCGACCTTGGTTAAGACACTCAACACTTCTCTCATCCTTAAAATGGGGGGACCGTAAGGACTACAGCGGTGTAACAGAAAGCCCAGCAACCCCAGAGGTCCCAGGGATGTCAGCCCCAGCGACATCCCCGCCTCTGCCCTGCTGCACCCCTGTCTGGCTGCAGGGGGCGCCCGTCGCCTGGGAATTCTCCAAGCTGGCCCGTCCTGTCTGGGAACCCTGATGCCTCCCCCATGGGTTGGGCAGCACTCAGGCTGGGAGTGGGCCCCCCCACTTGCTGCCTCATCCCTGGGGGGTGGAGGGGTAGCGGTGTTCTCCATCACAGTACAATTCCGCAGTCTTTCTTGCCAGCGGGTGTCACCCTGGTCGCTCTCTCCTGTTGGGGAGTCACATGCTGATTCTGGTCCTGTCCCTGGCATGGGTCCCAGGCCCTGTGAGTCTGCAAGCCCCAGGGGGTTGTAAAGGGGTGCAGGGATGGGTGGGGGAGAGGAAACCACCTCAAACTGTGGTTTCTTTCTGGAGGGCAGTGTGTGGCTTTGGGAATAGAAATGACGGCAACTTCCTGGCAGGCTCTCAAAGGATAAAATGAGGGGTCTCAGGCCAAACATCAGGTACACAGTAGGCACACAATGAATGCAATGAATGCAGCCGGTGTGGTTATGGCTGTTTTCTCCACCCAAGAGCTAACGGACCACCCAGCATTTCTCCAAGGACCACTTTCTCAGGATTACCTGGGTCCCCAGACCACTGATTCAGAATCTCTAGGACGGGGGAGGGCAGGCATCTCTGCCTAAATTTTTGTCAAGCACCCCATGTGATCCTGCCCCCACCCCAGAAGTTTCAGAACTGTTACTTGAGGAGGTTGAGGAATGGCACCAGCCCCACTGCTTCCCGCCAACCTTGTATCCAGGTGAAATCAGGGTGTGGGGGAAGGTGAGAGGAAGGGATGTCACCAAAGGATCAGATGAACACCTCAGGGGCCTGTGGAAGGGTGTGCCTGTGTGCACATGCTCATGCCTGGGGGTGGGAGTGGGCAGGAGCCCATCCTTTGGGGGTGTAAGCCCAACCTGGAGAGGTCATGACTCCAGTTCTCCGTATGCGGAGTCCCTCTCAGTGCTGCCCTTCCTTCTCACTCCCACCCGGAATGTTTTTGCTCGACCTTAGGGGCTCTGGCACTTTCTCATCCCCTTCGCTCTGGTCTTAGGGTCTCTCCATTCCAAGCCCCCTCGGTGTTCAAGTCTTTTCTCAGCTCTCATCCCTGCTTAACTCTGGTTCTTGGGCTTTGGGAGGGATGCAGTGTACACACTGGCATACAAAAAGGCAGCCTGGCTTTGGCTTTGGCTTTGGCTTTGGCTTTGTGGTAAATGGCTCCTGTGGCCATGTTTAAAACTCTTGTGCAAGTAAAGCTGGAGCAGACTTGTCTGTCTGGGAGGCCCGCAGTCCATGGTTGTTGCATGGTAAGGGGAAGAAGGCATGAGGCCTTGTGAGCCCCCAACCCCAGGTGTGGATGTAAGTCCAAATCTGTGTTTGTCCCCTGTCTGGGTGGTTCCAGAGGGCACAGCTGAGCCCAGGCTGCCCAGCAGTGAGGAGAGGCACAGCCCTGCTCCCAGATGGGAGTTCTCAGGATGGTCTGAGCCTGAGGCAGAGAGGAAGAGAAACCAGGAGCCTGGGCCAAGGCATGGATGGGGAGATATTCAGGGAGCTGGTTGGGCACCCAGTGGTGCCTGCCTGGAGCCCCAGGTCTACAGAGGGCTAAGAAGTTTGGGCCCCAGGGTCTGGGGAGGCCTGGTCCTGCTTCACCCCACTGCCTGTCTCTCTGCTGCTCTGCCCGGCTCAGGGCCTGGTGGCTGGTCATAAGGAGTGGACCTGCTGGGTCCCTGCCTCCAGCTGTATAGGAGACTCACCCACTGTCTGGCAGGGCCTTCCAAGTCTTAAGCCAAGTGTGGGTCATCCCCTGGAAAGCCTGGGCCTCAATTTCCCCACTGGGCAAAGACATAACTTTTCTCAGGTTCTCAAAGGTGGCCATAACCCTTCCTACCCTGGGACATAGATTCTGGGTCTTTCTCATCCCTCCCAATCAGAGATATTTAGGATTTCTTAGGGAAGCCTCTTAGATCAGGCTTCTCTGCTCCTCAAGGGGAAGTGGACCTAGTTTTCCCTTCTTCTGACGCACCACCCCCCCCGCCGCCTCCACACACACCTTTCCCCTACCTTAGACCTGCCCTCAGAGTCTTTCCTTCGAGGCTGGAGACCTCGGCTGCCCTGCACCCACCTTCCCTCTCTGCCCCCTCCCCATTTTTGCTGAAACTGCTCTTGATTCTCAGACACACCCCTTGGAGCCCTTGGCCCCCTGATAAGAGCAGGGGTATTATCTGGGCCCAATTATGGGGCCAGCTCTCCACACACCCAAGAAGCCCTGCCATTCCTTCCTTCCCTGGACAGGAGCCAAGGAGTGACCTCCCACCCTTTAGGGTGCCAGGTACCCATGTGTCTGGAACCCCTCTGAGATGTCCCCATTCTATACTTGGAAACTGATGGAGGGGTTCAGACCTGGGATGGGGAGTCCAGAAGCTGTCAACCTTTCCTCATCTCCAAACCTTTCCTCCATGGGCCTTCTAGAAGGTCAGGGTGTGGGGGGTGGGAAGAGCACTGGGCTGGATGTCCCTCAGCTCTGCTATCAACTAGTACCCTATGGGAGTGAGTCTTTTCCCTCTGCCTGGCTTCCTGTGACTGGTCTTTAAACAGGATGATCATCATGGCTACGTCACAGGGCTTGGTCACAAGATCCTAACTCTTTAGAGCTGCAGGGGACTCAGGGGTCACCTTATCCAGCTGCCCCTCCACCTCCAATTTCACAGATGGGCACTAGAGAAGGAAGGGATTGCCTAAGATGACATGGCATCCAAGCCAGGCAGCATTCTGTCTGTCTGTGGGGCTGCCTCTCCCGTTCCTGCTCCCAGGGACTATTCCAAAGGAGCAAGGAGCTGGGCTGCCACCACCGGGCCCCACCTTCAGCCCCCAAACCCCAGAGCCCAGCAGCACATTTCAGCACAGGGCCTGGGGAGCCGATAAGAAGGCCCCGCTTAACTGTGTGTCCAGCCCTGTGCTGGGAGTGATAATGCCGCCCAGCCCAGCCCTGCCCACCCCACCCCACCCAAGAGGGCCCTGCTGGTGGGTAAGGGTGTGGTAGGGGCGGATGGGGCAAAGGAGTTTGCCACAGTGTAGGATCAGGGCCCAGAATCCTACCACGTTGCAGAGCCCAGACCCCTCGCTGGCTGACCTCCCGGGTACCGGGGCGAAGTGACTAGCACCCAGGGGACACTCCACCTGTGCCCACATCCTGCCCTTCAGTTCCTATGCCTGGAGTGTGCGGGGCTGAAGGTCTGCGGGGTACTGTCGTGGGGGACAAAACCTTCACCAGCACTGCCCACAGCCTGGCCTGTGTGGGGGTTCCCACGTGCTTCTCTGGTCCCCACAACCCTCTGCAGTCGTCACGCTTGCTCTAGAGATGAGGGAACCAGCACCGAGCCAACAGTCCAGCTCCTCGGGGTGACACCTCTTCTAAGTGGCCGAGCCAAACCCCTGTCAGCCTCTCCCATTGCACTGTGCTGCTCTAGGCGGTTCTCTATGATTTCAGCTTGTTCCAGAAGTCCCCCTCATCTGTGGGGGTCTGCTCTGAGCCCCCCAGTGGAGGCCTGAGACCACGGTCAGCACTGAGCCCCATATACACCACAGTGACATTTAATGTATAAATGAGCCACTGCAAGAGATGAACAACTAAAAATAAACTGGAACAATTCTAGCTGCGTCCTGTAATCAAAGGTATGAGTGTGGTCTCCGTCCGCCTTCCGGTGTGAGATGTAAAAGTCCTGTGTGATGAGGTGAGGTGAGGGAATGACGTCACACCGTGACCCTTGACGTCGTGGTAGGCTACCATGGGCCTCCTGACATTACCTCAGAAGGAGGCTCCTCTGATCTTCAAGGGAACAGCAGGCTGACCACCCAAAGGCTTGGCCTTCCCACACGGTGAGGGAGTTTCCTC